ATTTTCTTTGTTCATTTTATGCCATTTGTATCATCTCTACACCATTTTGTTTCTTATTTTTACATTTGTCAGGTTTAAGTAAAACACTGCATTACCAGTACAGCTGGTTTAATATTTGCAAAACATACAAAATTACAAAATACAGGTGTAAAAAATACCATAGGAAACATTTTCCCAATTGCAAAACCTATCAAAATATGTAAACATGTACAAAACATTTTATTGGCCGCTGGTGCTTGGCTGCGGATGGTTGATGTTGTCATCTGAGGCAGCAGTTGGGGTTACCGGAGATGGTTTTTTCATAAACATGGTGAGCTTTGTCTGAATTGTATGGTTTTTTTCTTCATAAATTTCACGATACGGATGAAACACATTGTGCGCCATCCATTCAATCCTTGCAAATCGTTTGATGTTTGGGTCCACTGCTTCGAAATGTATAAGAAGTTTATTGGGAGGGGTTTGATGAAAAATATTCAAGACACAAAACACAAATTGCTATACCGAGTCTGGGATAACAGTTGAAATCGTGCACACGGAGATGGTAGTGCTGCCGGAAGCTGGTCCGCACTGTCGTAGGCCCAGCTGGGCAACGTTTGTGCTGCCAGACGCGGAGCAGTCGTGGCTAGCGATTGTGGTCGTAAAGTCGAATGGTCGTAAGTTGCATAGGTCGTAAGTTGATCAATACCTGTACAATTATTGTCCTCATTTTACAGATGAGAAAACTGATCCAGAGAGACAGACTTTCCCTTAAAGCCTTCCTTGACAACCCCATCTAGAACATCCACAACTCTGCTTCAGCAGAGCTTCACTCCACATTAGTTTCCTTCCAAGCACTTTACTACATGTATTGTGCTTCCCCCCTAGAATCTAAGCGCTTAAAAGCAGGTGTCTGTCCTTTGTTCACTCTTGAGCCTCTTAAACAGCATCTGGTGCAGGGTAGGCCTTCAAGGATTTACTGAAACAATGAGTAAATGTTTCCCTATCTGCCTTGCCCCTGAGTTCCTTGAGTGTGGAACCAGCATCTTACTCTCTTTGTGGCCACTGAGGTAAATGCTCAATAAATGTTTGTTGATATAATCTGAGAAGGAAAGGAGAGCCCAGAATAAGCTGATCCAACAGGTAATGATGCTAAAATGCAAGTATTTTAAAATATGTTTATTTTTATTATATATTTTACATTGAATACTTCGGCAAAGAAAATAATTATAATTTCAAAATGCAATCCCTAGATTCAACAAATATCCTTTATAATCAATTACACTAATCAATATCTAGAAATTTACATAGACAAAGTTAGCTAATGAATAAAACAAAATGACTATAAATTTCAGGGATGAGGGATCATGCATGATAGTTAAGTCACTCTGCCGCCTTTTAAAATAACATGATTCACATTTGCTTCAATCACATAAACATTCATTGCAGGAGTTAGACAGCTGATAATAACTGAAAATTGTGATCACTGGCAGCTTAAAAGAAAATTCAGTTTAATACAAAGACATTAAAGATGAAAATTTCAGGACCCTTGATCAGAAGTTTTCAATGAGTGTTGCTCTACTTTGAAATAGGCAAGATTCAGGTAAGGCTAAAACAGAAGACTGTTTCCATTGAAGACATGATCTAAGAATCGCCTTCTATAGAGGCAAATTATGTTCTGTAGAAACTAGCTAGCTAGCCGCCAAGATGTCACCAATAAAGGACTCGTTATACTAGTAACTACCTATGTTTAAAAGGTCTTAGCCAGTATTACAACAAAACATTTAGAGCAATATTTACGAATACAAGCATAATTGGTTCCTTGCCTTCTACAAATAACTATCTTTAAAATGATAAAAGCAGGTTTCAACTGTGGTTCTTCTCTGGGGTGAGAAGGTGCTGACACACAAGTGATCTACTGATTTACCTTCTGAAAGTACTCTTTGGAAGCAGCTGGACTTGGCTTGATCTGAAAATATAAAAACATTTCATTAGGTAACCATGACTTTACAATAATAGTCCTAAAATGAGTGGCAATCTCCCCATTTTTAACCTAAAGTTCTTTAAACTTTTAAAGATTTGTTTCCTTTAAAACATATAGACACAAGTTTCATTAAAGCCTACCTGTCCCTGATCATTGCTTCCTGGCTCCTCCCCACCCCACGCCTTCTGCCCCACAGCAGCTTCACTCATTTGCACATCATCTGGACGCTTGCTCCAAGGGAGGGCTCCCTTTTGTGGATATTACAGGTCAATAGCTCTTGAGGCGAGAGAACATGGACCTCACTGCTTTTGGGGAACAAAACCTACTGTAGGAGAATCCGGTGTCCAGTTCGCTGGGCAGACTTCTCCATGGGTTTCTACGTACTGGAATGCCTTCACCAAGCGGAGGGTTTCTTCCACGCTTCGGCCCACTGGGAGATCATTGACACTTAAGTGCTTGATGACTCCATTGGGGTCAATTATGAAGAGACCTCTGCAAGATAATTTATCCTCATTAGTGCCTCAACAGTACCAGAACTAGAACAGTCCCAACTCTTCCCTTTTAGGTCTTTAATTCTCCTTTTACTATTTGTTAAGCATGATCATATCCTTAAAGGTGGGGTTTTCACTGTTGTACAAAAAGCTTGTCGTCTCTTACTGATGACAGATGCTTTAACAACGGCAGGACTGGACCAGGTCACCATAAAAAACATGCAGTATGGTCACATTTACAAATTCATACACTTCCCTGAATGTCAACAGTATTGGAAAGTCACTGAACTAGAGAGCGCGAAGACTTTATTAGTCACTTGACAAGCATTCTTTGAGCTGCTGTATCACATCTTGGCAAGAAACTCACAGGCAGATGGGAAGAGACACAGAAGTATTTTATCTGTGTTCAATAACTGTTTATTATTAATGAATTCTTGGGTAAATGGGGGGAAATCCCATGGGAAAAAAAAATCTTTGTACAAAAAATGTACAGGCTCTAAGTCTACGCAGAACAGAAAACCATGACCATCACTTTTAATTATGTAGTA